CATGTTATTGTCTTATAACTAGATGTAGAACCTGATTGTTAAAATAATAGAATCTAAAATTCTCCCTAATGTCTGCCTGTTTTATTATACAATTTCATTTTGACAACAACTTTGTTTGGAAAAGTAAAGGCCACTATTTAAAAAAAGAGATCTAAGCAGCCCCGAGAGGTAATGGTGGCATTGAATTGTTAGAATATATGGATATGAACCGTACCTTTAAGATAAATTGGATAAAAGAATGTTTGAAAAAGCCAGAATCTCTTTGGTACTTTATACCACAGAATATTTTAGGAAAATCGCAGGCTTACCCTTTCTTAAATTGCGATTATGAGGTTTTAAAATTACCACTAAAATTGTCTAAATTTCACCAACAAGCTTTATCAGCAGCAAAATTGTGATTTATCCATAATTTCTCCCCGCACAGAACTAGTATCTGGAATTACCAATTCATAACTAGGAAAAATAAATCTTTTTTTCTGAAACAATGGATTGACAAAGGAATAATTTATCTTAAGGATTTACAAAATAACACAGGTGAAATTTTTTGTTATGAAGAATTTCTTAAATCCAAAATTTTTCCCATTACCTATACGGAATTTCAAATGGTGATAAATGCTATCCCCGGTGGTATTCTCCAATTACTCAAAGGTCATTTTAAAAGCCAAGAGGCAGAGAAAGTGGACCTCACCCTCTTTATTAATGGTGTAAACTTTATAAGTCATCAATGTAATAATAAACATATAAAAAACTTTTTTTTAGGTAAAGGGAACTTACTCCGTGAGGGAAATTTGTATGGTCCTCCTCTTTCCCTGATATTAACTGGAAAATAACATGGATCCTTCCACACAAATTTGCTATTTCTAACAAAATAAAAGAAATCCAATACAAAATTATACATAATATTTACCCTACTAATGCCTTTTTAGCTAAATTTGTCAATATTAACGCCAACTGTGTATTCTGTAATACTGAGGAGGAAACAATTAATCATCTATTTTTTGAATGTAAATTTTCACAGATATTCTGGAAAGAAGTTGAGGTGTACATCATATCGCACTCCAACACACCAATTAAACTACAAGCCAAATATATCATCTTACATTATACTAATAATGATAGGTAAATGCAATTCTTGGTTAACTTTGTTATTCTAATTGCAAAATTCCACATATGCAAAACCAAATTTTCTAAAGGTCGACCTTTCTTCCCTGTGTTTGAAAATGATTTAAAAATTAACTTCAAGCTTATCCAAAGAATCAGCAATAAAAAAAATGTATTCACACTGTTAACGTAATTCGGGAAATATTTGGAGAAATGTAAAATATCTTTTTTTGTTGTTTTT